CGTATACATACATCAAAAGAAACCGATAATATATCGAAATGTCATTAAAAATAATCCGTTATGCCGCGGCAGAGCGGCAGAACGGCAGAGCGGCAGAGAGAACGGCAAGAATTTTGAAACGCTCCCTAAGTAACCAAATAAGCTTTTATTTTGATCTATCTTATTTTATAACATGATGGAGTATTAGCGAAGTTATAAGTAAATGTGTTTATCAACAGATCTTATGCAATATGAGATGAGAAGAGTTAGTTAAGTAGCGTTTAATCTTTTTCTTATTAGATAGAAGACAGACCGTTTAATCTCAGAGATGTCAGAAAGCAATTACAACCAGTATTGCGATCCACGGGTCAAAATACTATCCTAAGACATATTGCATGACAGTTGCATACGTAATACACAATACATAATACGCAGCGTGAATTTATCCTACTTTTTAGGAATTTTGACAGTTATGAGAATTTAAAGGCTTGTCCAAGTAACTCGACACTTCGCTGATCAAGTTTTTGAAAAAATTATTTTAGAGTAGAACTGAAAGGATCATACACTAGATGCAGTTTTTGATAGTTATTATAGTTTTGGTTTTTGGTTATTGTCACGTTAGTCTACATTAGATGCTTAAAACTAAGTCCGATGTGAAAATGAAATCCTTTGAGCAATATTTAGTGCTCCAAAGTTTGTAGGGAAAAAGGTGTCACAGCGTCACGACGATAAAACACAATTATTGAGCCATGGAAAACTCATTGAAAATATTTTTTTTTAGCAATCAGTAGCTCGTTTACTTCTCTACAAACTTTGCTCGAGGCGCTTTTTATTAGCTCTTCTAAATTCGCAGCAAATTAGCTTTTAATGAGAAGAACTTCGAATTTAGGGCCTTTTTTTATCACAGCGTCACGCGCCGAAAAACGGTTCTAAAGATTGGAGTCTTTAACCACATACCTTCATTTTTATACCAACAGTAGAGTATGCGAGCTGCGTCGAATGGCATAAGAACAAAATTTCTAGCTCTTACACTTTTTGAGAAAAGCTCAAATTACTGTGTCAAAGCTGTCACACTGGGACAAAACGTTAATTTACAATTCTCATAATTCTCATACTTCATCAGACGAAAAAAGTTGATAAGTTGTTGTAAATATAATTTTCTCATTGACCTTGTAAGTTTCTGACGAACGATAAATACATTTAATGAGTCATCTAGCATTTTCGGCTTCACCTACCGCCGTAGCACTCTTCCATTCCATATGGTTGTTCATCTACATCAGTTACCAGAGTCTAGAGCAAGGAATAGTACACTGACTGAGTAGTAGTCTTCTTGGAGCATTTTCCATTTTCTCATGAAGCCTCTCTTGCAGATAGATCCCAAAATGAACACTAGTTGGAAAAATGTACAAATGAATCAAAACTATGCAGAAGATAAGTTCTTCCATCGTTGTTTATTGTCTAACCATCGAGCTTTCCGATCGCCTTTACCGAAATGGCAACACTAGGCGGAAACTCTGCTGTACGTGGAAATCTTGATAAATATTCTAAATCATCCAAATTAGCTGCTACGGATCGGATGTACTGTTTGGATGCATCTCTGAATGGTTGATGATCCCAAGGTTGCCATTGGCCGATGCGAAGAGCTGAATCTGTGAATCGTCTTTGTCGTTGAGATCGGAGGACTTGAGCGGTAATGGCGCGCATATCCCAGCGTTGTTGGGCTTCCTTCAGAAACTGAGTCAGTATTTGAGCATGTTCTGACGATGGTGACTGGGCCAAATTCATAATTTCATGCGGGTCGTCTTTGATGTGGAAAAGTTGCGGCGGATCGGTCGGAGAAAAGATGAATTTGTAGACGCCGCGACGAATCATCATGAGTGGAGCGACAGTGCCTTCTGCCATGTATTCTCCGATGACTTCATCGTGCTTATTGGCGGCTCCAGTAAGATGTGGTATCAGTGAGCAGCCATCCATTTCAAGGTCTGGTTGAAGTTGACCACCTGCAAGATTCACGAGAGTAGGTAACAAGTCCGCAGTTGAGACAGACTCGTGCACTCGACGTGGCGAAAAATATTTTGGCGCATAGACTAACAAGGGAACGCGTGCAGCTGGTTCCAAGAAGCTCATCTTATACCACAATCCACGTTCACCCAAAAAATCACCGTGATCTCCAGTGAAAATGACGATTGTGTCGTCAGCCAAATCGCACTCCTCTAGGACTTGAAGAAGTTTGCCCACATTTGCATCGACATACGAACAGTTACCGAAATAGGCACGGCGAGCTCGACGAATTGCTTCTTCACTCATCGGATTATCCCAAATATCAATGACCTTCATCAGCCGCACTGAGTGTGGATCCTGATCTTCTTGTTTAATGTTAACAGTCGGCAAGGGAATCTCATGATCCTCGTACATGTTCCAGAAATGCTTCGGTGTAGTATAGGGATCGTGTGGATGAGTTAAACTGACAGTCAGACAGAACGGTTGTCGCTTGGTTTTATCCACTGATTTGCGAACATGGTCGTACAGATACTGTTGAGCCTTGTACATGACCTCCTCGTCAAAGTCAATCTGATTCGTGCGCACACAGGGTCCAGCATCAAGAACGGAACTCATATTATGATACCAGTCTTGTCTCACTTCTCCCAAATCCCAGTTCACTGTCCATCCATAATCGGCTGGATAGATATCACTTGTCAGTCGTTCTTCGTAACCGTGCAATTGATCACTTCCGACGAAGTGCATCTTTCCTGACAAACAGGTGTGATAGCCAAGGCGTCTCAAATAGTGAGCGAAAGTCGGGATGTTGGAAGCGAAGTTAGCAGCGTTGTCGTAGGCACCAATCTTGCTTGGTAGCTGACCACTCATGAGAACGAAGCGGGATGGCGCGCAAAGTGGACTGTTGCAATAAGCTGAATCAAAAACAACCGACTCTTTGGCTAGTCGACTGAGATGTGGCATCTTAATAGGTGACTTTGGATCGTATAAAGGTAGAATGGGAGCACACATTTGATCAGCCATGATTAAGAGAATATTCGACTGCTTATTCTGCTTCATTGCCGAAGATGGTGGGTCGCTAAGCATGATGCCTATCTAAAAAAGATTTAAGGTAACTGTTTGAGTTCTTCATCATAACTGGGAAACGCTTAACTACGTCCTTCGAGGGCCGCACGCTCATTTCAGGGTCCAAGGTAGATTTCTTATTCTCAATCAACAGGAAAGAGGTGAATAACAAGACTGACTACCAGGAAGAAACAAAGCGAGAAGTTAAATTATAGAAGAAAGACATTACGTTAGTCATTCCACACTTGGTGGCAGGAGGGTGCAAAATAATTTACAGTAAAGACTTCATATGTCTTAGGATAAAAAAATCTGAAAAGTTCATCTCTTCTCACTGCTTTCCGTACTTATAGACCAGATATGACAAAAGTTGGAGTTGTCTCGTAGAGGAAAAGCAAATAGCAAAAAATAGATCTCAAATGCTATTCCAACATAGTCTCTCATCTTATGATTTAGGTCTCTGCCATCGCATCCTCTATGTGTCAGCTCTTTAACCATACTAAGTAAATTATACCAATGTTCGAAAATTAAATTTAGGATAGTCAAATTGCTATGTAGTATACAAGATAATCCAACACGATAGCATGTCAGTAGAGATCCTCATACCTAAATGTGAAATTAGGACGCGAGTAGGTTGCAGAAAAAACATAAATCAGCTTTCAAATATGATAATGCTGTTAGCTACAACCATCGATCTCACTTTTGTCAATATAAGTAAATAACTGTAATGATAATAATAATAAGTTATATGCCGAAAAGAAAAGTCTTTAAGGTGCACGTAATTCAAAATTCGAGCAAACTTTTTTTCTAATATATTATAGATCATTCGATGTAGAATTCGACGCTGATCACGTATATCATTAAACCAGCTTTAAAGTACGCTTCGCTTTTTTATTTATTTTGTTTTACTATTGAGAGAATACATTTTTTCTAAATCAGTAGCGAAGAAATCGGAATTCTGTCCATAATTCTCTGTTTTCTCCATCACAACTCACTTTTTATGCAATAGAAATATCATATTCTGAGCCAGCGTCGAAAATCGAGTGGAATGATATACGTTTCGAAAAGTTTTGGCGATTTTCATTTTTTAGTGAAAATCTCGGTAATATTTTTCGATGTGAAAATCCGAAAAAACAAAGGTGGTCAAACAGGATAAAAAAGAGTACATCATTCGGCTCGGTTTTCGACGCTGACTCAGAATATGATATTTCTATTGCATAAAAAGTGAGCTGTGGTGGAGAAAATAGAGAATTACGGACGGAATTTCGATTCTTCGCTACTGATTCAGAATTGGAAAATGTATTCGCTCAGTAGTAAAGCAAAATAAATAAAAAAGCAAAGCGTACTTTAAAGCTGGTTTAATGGTGGTTCTGACGAAATAAAAAGGTCGGCTTCATCTCTTCACAAGAAAAACTAGATAGGTTTTCAAAATTGTCTAGGAACCTTTTACTGGGGGCGCTCAAGACGTCCATACTGGATAGACCTTTGACTCCTGCTTCGATCAAGTATCATTCTCATAGTCAGTTTTTAATGCTGAATCCGGAAGGATACTTTCGAAAGTTAATAGAATAAAAAAGAAAAAAATTTGAATTGTTTTGACGCCGGAAGGTTTTTCGAAATTTGAGACCCTTCTAGCAATTCGAAGATTTTTCATTCAAAAGCCAATTTTATAAAGCTAAAATGTCGATATTCGTGATCAGCGTCGAATTCTACATCGAATGATCTATAATATATTAGAAAAAAATCTTGCTCGAATTTTGAATTACTTGCACCTTACTTTCTGCCTCGTCAATGTCATTCAATTGGCATCAGAATGATATAGATTGCCATAGCATGAAAAAATATTTGCACAAGTATTTAGTATGATAGTGAGTGAGAAAATAAATTTACTTATGAAACATTGATATCATTTTACTAAATATTTTTTATAATGACTTCATACATTCATGATGCTCTCTCACGTTTCATCTATTGTTTTCAATCAAATGTTGTTTCTGTTGAAGAGAAAAAAACAGCAGTGTGCACCAAAGTACACATTATAAGTATTTTGAATATTCTCACTGATTTGGATATACGAAAAGAAATGAAAGAAAACAATAACAAAAGAAACGAACAACACGAAAAAACAGAAACCTTGATAAGAAGGACACGCGAAAAAAAACTAGTAAGAAAGAGAAGTAGTGAAAACACAGCTTTAACGTAGCATAAGTGGAATCTTGGTCGAGCATAAGATTATTTTCAACGGTAGGGCATATTTGATGCATAATATAATATAACCCATAAATATATTTAAAATCTGCTAATATTCATAATGAAGTGACACACAGCATCAGGTATAAACTGCATTGAGTCAGTAGCAAGAGATGAATCGTCTAACAGGAAAAATTTTGATAGCGAAGGCATTGCACTTTAGCGTGAGGTCGGCTCAGGGCGGTGAATTTCTCGCAGTATACAGTGTAGAACTTAACAACGTCGCGCCCTGAAGCGCTTTAGCTTAAACTCGATCCTCGTCAGTTCTTAGATCTTTTTGTTTTACGCTCCCTCGATTGCATCTGTTGAAGTTGTAATAGAGAATAATGCGCAAAAGTATATATATGCATGTTTATAAGAAGAATAGCAGAAGTGATGATATGATCTAACCGGAGATGAAGATCATAACAGACACAGAAGCGCGAGCCAGTGTTCATCTTAACCCTTTCAGGACCGGTTTAATTTTTATATAAAAAGTGCTGTTCAAAAGTTGAAGACCTTTTTTATTTTGCAATATCTCGGCTTCCCTGAC